TGTCTTAGATAAAGACAATAAGCGCATACAACGGAATCTAAATCGATCTAATAAAGATAAAGAGAAACTTTCCAAGCATATCTACCAACTTATAAATGAGGTTAAGCGATTGCACTCAGAGTTAGATACTCTAACATCCCAGATTACTCGCAAGGATATTTCTCTTAATGAATATAAAGACAAGATTCGTACAAAACTAAAAGAGATGAAGGCTCTCCAGTCTAAGATAAAAGCATCGGAGACGAGACTATCTTCAACCCAGAAGGACTCATCTATGAAAGAATCTGAGATTGATTATCTTAGGGTCGAATTATCTGCCTTAAATTCTAATCTAGCTTCGAAAAATAGTGAATTAGAGCGCATGAAGAATATGTTAACTTTAAAAAATGGTGAATTGGAACTAATAAAAAATGATTTGGCTGAAAAAAATTCAGAAATACGCTCCTTAGAAACTAGACTCAAAGAGCTATTGCCATGCAATAGATTATCATCAAAACAAGTCAAAATCGGAGGTAAGACAAATGAAAAAAATGATGATAATATATCAGTTATGCAGTCTCCGCCAAAGGATCTGGACTCTTTATCTCTTGCAAAATATTTTGTACGTAAGCCTAGACCCGAAGGGTCATTGCTTCGCAATAAGAGAGAGAATAGTCAAGTAGATAGAGATATCCAAGAATCTTTGACTCAACAAACATTAACCAGTTTAAATGATAATATGCCTAAAGAATCAGAAATCTCTAATGAGAAGCAGATAAATAATGAGCAGATACGAAGTAACATTTCTCCCAAAATAAGCCCAGAGTCATCGTCACATATTATATCTAAGATAAAGAATAATAATATACCAATAAGAGAGATTGAAGCATTACCTGTTGTGACATTAGGTGCTGGCGAAGCTTTGGTTAATTATAAGTATCAGATTCCCTCTATTATTAAGCTTGTTGTTCTTGTTATAATAATGATACTAATTATTTGGTATATATACAGAAATATTTTTCATCCAACCAAAAAGGAAGAAAATTTTTATCCAGTATATAGAAAACAGAGTTATGGATTCCCATTCCGTCATGCAGAAAAACTCAAAGACAGGATTACCTCCAATGAAACTTTTCCTTATGGATATCGATGAGGCTACAAAGCATGCTTCATCACGCTGTATTGGACATCCAGCAATGTCATGGCCATTCGCTAAGCTAGTTACAGGAAAAAGTGGTACAGGTAAAACTAATATACTCAGAAATCTTGTTCTTGGTGACAAAGCTGAATATATACATAAAAAGAAAAAGGGTGGATCTAGATATATACGGTGTGATGATTTGATAGTTTGTGGATACCATCCTGATGAACCAAAATGGGCTTTCGTTAGATATATGTATGGAATAATTGCAAGTAATCCAAGAGCATCATATTACGAAAATATTAGGTTTAGTTATATCTCACCTGAAAAAATTCCTAGTGTAAAATCTTTCTCCCCCGAAAGAAGTACTGTTATTATCTTTGAAGATTTATGTGTTGCCTCCGAGTCTATACAAAATCGAATTATTCCATTTTTCACACATGGACGTCATCGAAATATTTCACCTATATTTACCACGCAAAAATACCATCATGTTCTAATGATCATCTGTGAGAATCTTTCTCATATATTAATGTTCAACGGTGGTAGTTCTCCTCAAGACTGTGCCAAAATTGTAGGACGGTATACCGATGATGTAAAAGGTGCATCAATGGTTATTAATAACTACCTTCGCAAGGGTGAGTTTATTGTATTTGACCTTAATAAAGCAGAGGATGATCCACTTGCAATTCGGTTAAGATTTGATACTCCACTAGATTTGCAGAAAGAGATAGAATTACGGCAAAA